TATTTTTAGTAGAGACGGGGTTTCACCATGTTGACCAGGATGGTCTCGATCTCTTGACCTCGTGATCCACCCGCCTTGGCCTCCCAAAGTGCTGGGATTACAGGCTTGAGCTACCGCGCCTGGCCTGCCCCGCTAGTTTTATATTTTTTGTAGAGATAGGGTTTCTCCATGTTGGTCAGGCTGTTGAACTCCTGATCTCAGGTGATCTGCCAGCCTCTGCCTCCCAAAGTGCTGGGATTACAGGCGTGAGGCACCGCGCTCGGCCGGCTTCCTGGAATATTAAGGCTCATTTCTCACTCATATACATACCCTTCATTCACAGTCCGAGCAGGTTGTCTGAGCAAGCCTCGCTCAGCTGGATTTTGCATGTGCTGTCGGCCAGCTCCCCAGTCTAGAATGTTCTGTCCGTGCTTTCCTCAGAAGAAACCTGCAGGGATGGGAGGGCGCTCACCAGAGGCAGCAAGGGGTCTAGGTCTCAGTGCTTCTCACACTGGCCTTCTTGCCTGACCTGTGCATGGAGCTTGCTGTGGCCATCTCTGTCCCTGCCCATGCCCTGTGGGCTCTGTGGCTCGGCCGGGCTGGCCTCTTCCTCCTTTGGCAGGAGGGAGATTCTTTGCTCTGCCTGGCTGCCTGTTTGCACACGTGCTATGCTGTACTCCAGGCACCACCAGGCCCTTGGGGAGCCCTCCCCACCCCTGGCTGCTGCCTGGCCCTGCTGCAGAGTGACCCAGTGGCCAGGGCCGCCTTGGCTGTGAGGGGACCATATGAGCCCCTCCCACATGGTGGATGGAGCTTGAGCTTTCACAAGAGAGAAAACCAGTGTTTGAGTTTGACAAAAACCAGAGGCCTTGGCAAGGAGTAGGTACGGATGTGGCTGAGATGGGGCCCTGGGCGTTTGCTGAGCCACTGCAGGTTGGCTTGTAGGAGGCTTCCCTGACCTTTCAGGGTTTTACTGGCTTCCAGTGGCTGAGTTAATCCACGTCAGGTGCCAGAGACTCTCCGGCTGTCAGCCAGGGCCGGTGCACCCCTAGACTGATGGAAGGGTCTCGCACACAGTTTGAAAGGCCTCTGTACTCTGGAGCCTGGTTTAGAATTTGAAGGTGTGATCTTTGTGTTTTGAACAAGAGTTTTGTGTTTCAATGCTCAGGTGGAGGTGACCTTCCAACTGCAGTGATGATAGCAGAAGCTGGGACTGAGCCCGGGGCCTGGTGCCCAGGGGTGGGGTGGAGGTGGACGGGCGGCACAGTCCAGGCCAGCACCAGCCCAGGAGCCTCGGTTTCCACCGTCTCTACAGCGCGCGGCCCCTTCGGCCCTGTGCGGCCTTTGCTGGCGGTGTTGGGTGCTTGGCTCTGCAGCTGCCGTGTCTGTGGGCAGCAGTGGTTTCTCTCCACTGACCGTGTCATCAGAGGCTTTCAGAGCCCACTCATTTCAGGCTCTAGCCTCACAGTTGTGCCCGTGAGGGCGAGTCACGCGCCCGAGGCCTCGTCGTGGCTCTTGCGCCATCTGTTGGGTCAGAGCCGTCAGTCCTGAGGGTCAACTCTGAATCAAAACAGTGCTGTGGTTCGAAGTGGAAGGAAACTGGCCCCTGAAGGTGTATAACTTCCCCGCCACCTCCAGTGCATTCGTGGTTCGGCCTGGCGGTGCCGTGGACAACAGGCCATCCTGTGTGGGCAGCCCGGCAGCAGCCAGGCTGCAAAGTCATGGTTGAGACCCGGTCTCCATATGATCCAGCAGGAGCCTGGAGGCCAGCCACATCCTCAGGGTGGGCCTGGGGCTTGCACATACAAGTGATGCTGATGGGAAAATTCACTTTGATTTGAATGAAAAAGAAATTATGCATCCTTATTTTGTGACCAAAACATGTGGCCAATTATATCTTTAAAGATTTGAGTGAAGTGGGGCATGGTGGCTCATGGTTGTAATATCAGCACTCTGGGAGACTGAGGTGGGAGGATTGTTTGAGCCCAGGAGTTGGAGACCAGCCTGGGCAACAAAGCAAGACCCCACTGCTGCAAAAAATATGAAGGTTAGACGGGCACGATGGTGTATGCCTGTGGTCTCAGCCCCTCGGGAGGCTGAGGTAGGAGAATCGCTTGAGCTGGGAGCTGGAGACAGCAGTGAGCTGTGATGGCACCACCGCACTCCAGCTGGGTGCGGTGCGACCCTGTCTCAAAAAGAAAAAAAAGTTATTCTTTAGAATTTTACTTCTCAGTGATTCACTTTTTATAGGAGAACCACAGAGACAGAAAATACGTCATTTTGTCTTTTAGAGCCCAATAATGTCCTTAGAAAAAAGGAGCTCTGTCCCCAAGGCCCATGTGCCTTTATAAAAAACAGTTGCTGGGAAGTGTTTTATTTTTTTTGAGACAGAGTTTCACTCTTGTTGCCCAGGCTGGAGTGCAATGGCATGATTTCGGCTCACCACAACCTCTGCCTCCCGGGTTCAAGCTATTCTCCTGCCTCAGCCTCCCGAGTAGCTGGGATTACAGGTATGCTCCACCATGCCCAGCTAATTTTTTATATTTTTAGTAGAGACGGGGTCTCTCCATGTTGGTCAGGCTGGTTTTGAACTCCCAACCTCAGATGATTTGCCTGCCTTGGCCTCCTAAAGTGTTGGGATTACAGGCGTGAGCCACGGCGCCCAGCAGGGAAGTGTTTTCGGTTCCTGTCTGTGGAGCGTTTTCTTGCTCTGGATGAAGGTGGTCTGGGGAGTTTCTTGGGTCCTGTGGAGTTGGCGAGCTTGTTCTCTAGGTTATAATTTTAAGTGGCCGGGGTTGTGTCAGTGTGGCCTGTGCCTTGTCGTTGGCATCATGGTGCCCTGTGCCCTGCAGGCGTGGCCAGTGGCACCCACGTGCCCTCACAAGCCTGAGCCACGAGGCGAGGTGTCTGAGGCCAGCGTGGGTATGGTCCAGGAGGGTAGCCTTGACCCTGAGGGGGCCTGGAGGTGTCCCAGGAGTGGGGCTCAGTAGGAAGGCTGCTCACGGTGGAGGTGCACGTGTGGCATGGATGGTGCTAGGCACCACAGGTGGGGGTCTTAAGGCAAGGACTAGGAGGTGGCAGGGGTAGGGCCCAGGCGTGCTGAGGGGCTGCTGCCCTGGCCATGGCCTTGGACTCATGCCCCAACTGGACCCGCCTGCTGGGTCTCAGGACCCTGGAGACGCCTGGGTGGGTGGAGACTCTGCCAGCAGCTCAGAGCACTCCAGTTGGTGGGTGCATCCTGGGGGAGCCCCTATCCCTCATAGGCCTTGGGAAGGGGGCTGCTGAGATTTGGCCAGGGCCAGAGTGAGAAGGGGGTGGTGGCAGCACCTCCAGAGAGCAGAGGGAGTGCCAGGGCCTGACACTCAGGGCCCTGCTGTGGGCAGGCCTGGGCATGGCATGGGGGGCTGGAAGCTGCCTGCCTGGGATGAGGGTGGGCTTTGCCCAGGGAGCTCCTGTGTGTGCACCTGTCGCATGTATTTTGAGATGAGAAAGATTTGTATGCATTTCTATTTGCGTAACTATCAGGGGAGTAGGTGCGAGGATGGAGAAGGTGGGAGGTACGCCTGGCGGGCCCCTGAGGATGTGGACGAGGTGGGGCACCAGGGGCCTGATGGGCACAGGTCAGGGAGAGATGGAGCCACTGCAGGGCCTCAGAGGCGGCTGTGAGGTGTCTTCTGAGAGCCCCCTGGGTGGGCTGTTGTCGGAAGTGGAGGCACTAGGTACCCTCCTCGGCCAGCCCACTGTGGCTGGGACAAGGCTGTCACCTGTGAGCCCCGGGTGTCTGGGGGGCTTGCTCAGGTGTTAGGTGCCCACCAGCCTGGTCTGTCGGGGCTGGGCAGGGCCAGGCTGTGTGTCTCTGGTACCAGCTGGGAGGGGGCCGAGGAAAGCTGAGGGACCAGCTGGTTGGGCCGGGGTGGGCGTGGGCAGGATCTGAAGAAGGGGCCCCAAGGGCTGTGGCCAGTCTAGAGAGGACGACTGCTTTGTGTGGTCTTGGGGGTGGCCAGACCCCTAGCACATGGACCCCTCGACGGGTCGGTGGGTTGCTGCCTCCCAGGTGACCTGCTGGGAATGCTTTAAGCCTGTATCTTTTCTATTGCAGACTTTAAAAAATTCAAAAAGCCTTTGTTCCCTCAATTACGAAGATGACGACGAGGATGACTCCCCAGTGAAGACGGTTCTGACCGCTCCATGTGACTCGCGGGGCCTCCCGGCCATTGCCATGTCTGGCTGCAGCCAGAGGGGCTGCAGGACCAGCCCCGGCCGGTGGGCCTCGAGGGAGTCTGTGGCCGGTGATGGCTCCAGCAGGAACAACGGGGACCCCAGTGATGGGGACAGCGCCGGGGAGGAGGGTGTCTTCCCCCGGGCCCGAGAGGAGCTGGACCTGGAGCAGATAGAGAAGAACTGAGGCTGGGGGGAGCTGTTTGGGGCAGCGGGTGCCGCCCCCACCTGCCCTGGTGCACAGAGTAGGCCTCACGCTACTTTGAACACTGAGGCATGATTTTCATTCCGCTTTTCCTAAAGAAGTATTTTGCATTTTTATGGCTTTTGCAGTTCGGGAGAGAGCTTCTCTATTTTGGATGCATTTCAGAAGGGCGTTCTATTAAACATGAATCTGCAAATAGATTAGCACGGGTCTGTGTTCCTCATGAAAAGCCTGCCATGCAGGGCGCCTTGCGTGCTTTAGTTGCTGGGAAAGCCCAGGCCTGGTGGTGAGGGCCCCGCTGGCCCTGTGCGTCCCTCCCTCCAGAGGGTCACGACGCTTGGGGCTTGTGCCAGGGCATCTGTGCCCGTGAATCTTGTCACCCACATGCCAGTGAACTGCCAGCTGTGGCTGCCTGGCTTTCCACTGGTAACGGGGAGACCATTTGGGGCAAGCCGAGCTGCCATGAGTCCATGGTTCCTGTGGCCTGGGAAGGCCTGGGCGCCTTTGGGTGGGGTGTGGCGCCAGGCCTTTGGGAAGGCCGTCCTGCTGGCAGCACCCACTCTGTGAATTTAATAAAAGGCGCTTGCTATGCACTATGACTCTGATGAATTTTCATTTTCACCAGTTGAAGTGGACCTGGCTTCGCCTCAGGCCTCTGGTCTGGCTCAGCACCAGACGGGGCAAGGGACTTTGTTCTTCATCCTGCACTTTTATTTATTTATTTATTGAGATGGAGTTTCCTCTTGTTACCCAGGCTGGAGTGCAATGGCGCGATCTCAGCTCACTGCAACCTCCGTCTCCTGGGTTCAAGCAATTCTCCTGCCTCAGCCTCCCGAGTAGCTGGGACTACAGGCATGCACCACCATGCCTAGCTAATTTTTGTATTTTTAGTAGAGACAGGATTTCACCATGTTGACCAGGATGGTCTCGATCTCTTGACCTCGTGATCCACCCGTCTCGGCCTCCCAAAGTGCTGGGATTATAGGCGTGAGCCACTGTGTCCAGCCCATCCTGCACTTTTAATAAAATCATAGGGGTTTCGGGTTTGCGATAGCAAAAGAAAACATTAACAATTTTGGGGAATTTTCTTGATTTTTTTTCCCCCAAGAAAATTCATGGAAAGGTATTGAAGTTGATGAGTACCACTTTCTTAACTGACGTGGGCCGCAGATCAAAGGTGGGCACAGGTGGCGAGTGGTGTGGTTTTGGATCAGCTCTACTGGGGCCGAGCTGCCCTGGTGAAAGATTCTGGCTTGGGTGACTCTTCTGTCTCTGCCCTGTGAGATGGAGGATGGGGCTGGGGGATTTGGGGCCTTAGTAAGCAGGAGCCCTGCCCAGGTCCCGCCCTCCTCCGCTGGGGCAGTGCCTACTCCTGCTGTGCTGGCTTGGGATCAGGAGCCCCTCTGTCCTTGGCAGGCCCTGGGTGGCTCCTGTGCTGAGGCGGACAGAGCAGGGGTTTGAGAGATGGGAGCCAGTTGGCCCCCGAAGTGTGGAGAGGCTTCGGGATCCTGAGAGTGTCAGCTGCTCCCCAGAGCCACCCCTGGCCCCACGTGGAGGGAAGGGAGGCCTCTGGCGCTGGACTTTGATGCAGTTGCCAGGCTGCATGGGGAGGTTGTGTTTTGGGTAAATTTGTGGAGATCAATCCTGGGTGACATAGCAAAAGCCAGTGGCTTGCATAGTCAGCTCACCGTGCAGGGTGATGGGATGTGGAGTGAGGCGAGCGGTGCTCTGAGATGACTTCATAAGGGCAGGGTCCTTCAGAGCCCGGCTGTGGGGCTGTAGTGACCTCCAGGGCACTGGCCCCTGGCCTGTGGGACACGGCAGCCTGGACAGCCGTGGAGATGGGGCTGTGGGGCTGTCTTGGTGGTGTCATGCCTGCCAGGTCCCACTGGGCCCTCTGCTGCAGGCCGGGGAGGGCGTCAGAGACAAAGCAGGGCGTGTGGCTGTGACTGCAGAGGGCCCTGTGGTCCCCACCCGGGCCTGGACCCTCTGGGACAGGTGGGGCCCTGCTCTCTTCCTGCAGTCACTCCAGAGCACGGCTGTGAGGCCACCCGTCGTCCCCTCCCGCTGGATGGTGACCCAGGTTTGGGAGATCCGTCCACTGTGTCACCTGAATCTGGAACACTTCCCAGCAGCCCTCACCACCTGAGTCCCTTTCAAGGACAGGCAGGAGGAGGGGGCCCATGACTCTGCTCCCACCGGGGCCCTCACCAGCTCTGAGCCTGGCCTGGGTGTGTGGGAGCCAGGGGATGTGAGGTGAGCTGGCATCTGTGTGTGGAGTCACCGCCCCACCTCTCACCCTCCGACTCCCCCCTTCCCTCGATGAGGCCCCCAGGGCTCCCCTGCCCGTCTCACCTCCTACCCTAGCTCACCTCATCCTTCCCCAAACCTCCAGCTCTCCTGGGCTGGTTATGAGGCTGAGCCTCGGTGCCCTTGGGGTAGGTAGTCTGGGACCTGGGGTGTCTGGTGGGGTGGGGCCCCTGTCGGGCAGTGCGGTCAGTTCTTCTGCAGTGCAGACCTGCTGTGTCCTCTGCGGGTGGGGAGACTGAGGGGGAAGGTTCAGGGCACCCTTGGGTCCCTCGTCTGCCAGGCACAGGGTGGCGTGTGTGTGCTGGGAGTGAGCTCACAGCCCGGCCCCCGGAGCTTGTCCCCAAGGGTGTATTTTCCCTGGGCGTGTCTGTATGTCTCCTGAGATGGCAGGCAGGACCCTCACCGGGGGCATCTGGGTCCCTTGGTTGGCCCTGCGGGGTCACCTGCCTGAGGCCGGGGGAATCCTGGGGGGCTGGCCTGCTGCCTTGGTGGATGTGTGGCCCCTGGGGATGGAGAGAAACTGCTCCTGAAGCCGCAGGCAGTGCTCGTGGGGTGGGGGCTGCTCAGCTGTGTCACCCACAGGGGGCCTGGGCTCGGTCCTGCCTCAGCCGGCCACAGGCAGGTGGTCCCAGGGCCCTCTGGGGGGACCTCAGCACTATGGGCAGGTAGGTGGGGACTTGGGGGGCTGTAGCACATCACAGCCCCTGGGTCTCTGGAGCCTGTTTTGGGCACCTACCTCAGTGTCAGCCCCTGCAGGATCCTCTGGGTTGGGCTAGGCCATGTCTGGGCAGAGCTGGTAGGAGGGCCCCCAGGGCAGCTCCCTTCGTGCACTGGGGGTCTGGGAGGCCACTCCTCCGTCCCCAGGCTGGGATGCTCCAGACAGGCCCTCCCTGCCCCTGGCCCCCAGCCCTGCAGCCTCAGCCCACCCCCAGCCCACCCCCTCTCCTGGGGCCTTCCCCACTGCAGGGCTTCTGTCCCTATGGAGGACTCCTGAGGGGAAGGGGCTGAGGTGAGGTGGGGTGGGGACGTGGGAATGAGAGAGGGATGGCTTCCCCACCCTTCCCCAGGCATCCACCCCTGTATCTTCTCCTGAATACGCCTCCATCCTTTCCCAGGCTCCCTCTGCCCCTTGAGGACCAGCCTCACCCTTGCTCCCTCTGGCTCTACCCAGAGCCTCTGAAAACCCAGGGAGGTGGTTATGGCCTAGCTGGGAGCCTCCCTGGCAGCCTGGGGTGGCAGTCTCTGTGCCACAGCCTCAGGGCCAGCCAGTCCCCTGCAGTCACAGGCCCCATTCTTGTCCAACCTCTTGTCCCTTGTCATGGGTGCTTAGTCCAGCTGAGAGCCCTGGGCCTCCCTCTGCTGAGAGCTTGTCCGCCCAGGAACTCCCCAGGCCCAGACAGCGATGGTGGCTGAGGCGCTGGCCCTCGCCAGGTGGCACTCTCCAGGAGAGGGGCCTGTCCGTCCTCTGCTGCAGCAGGAGCACCTCATTCTCACACTGGCTGCTCCGTGTGCAGCTCAGCCAGTGCCCTGGAGGGAGGAGGGGCAGATGTCAGGGCCATGGATGACCGCTGGAGGGGCACTGTCGTGTTCCAGCCCTGCAGATGGGATGCTGTCTCCAAAAGTGATAACGCTGTGGCAAACCCAGCCAATCACAAGGAGAAATTCACAAGCCCACCATCCTAGGCAGAGGTCTCGGTAGTACTCTTAGTGGGTGATCCGTCGATTAGACTCAAAAGAAACAAGAAGAGCACGGCGGTTTGTTGGTGCTGGCTCCCGAGCTTGAGTGGAGGGACGCCTGCAGAGTGGGGGGGGCTCACCCAGCTGGGAAGTCACATTAGTTTCAGGCGCACATGGAGCCTGTGGGAAATGGAGTATTAATAGGCCAGAAAGCAAACGCCAGTGCATTTCAAATACTGTTATATGGATCCTATTTTCTGACCACAACTCAATAACAAAAAGCAAACAAAACCTCGTGTGCTTAACAAATTCCAAAAAATATACTGTATGTAACTCATGGGATATAGAAGAAATCAACAGAAATTAGAAGACCCAGAACTGGGTGATAGTGTGTGCGCACGGCATAGCCATGCTTGTGCAGTGGGTCCCAAGTGGTGTGTGGAAGGGGATTTACAGTCCTCAATTTCTGTATTAGGAGAAATGAGTGAAAAATAGCTGGGCACAGTGGCTTGTGCCTGTAATCCTAGCACTTTGGGAGGCCAATTGGAGGGAGGATTGCTTGAGCTCAGAAGTTTGGGACCAGCCTGGGCAACATAGCAAGACCCCATCTCTACTAAAAATTAAAAAACTAATTGGGTGTGGTGGCTCATGCCTGTAGTCCCAGCTCCTTAGGAGGCTGAGGTGGGAGGATCGTTTGAGCCCTGGAGGTGGAGGCTGCAGTGAGCCGTGATCACACCACTGCACTCCAGCCTGGATGACAGAGCAAGACCCTTTCTCAAAAAAACAAAACCCAGAAATGAATGAAACTGACAACAAAGCCACAGCAGAGAAGATCCACAATTTTTTCTTTGCTAAATAATTGGCAAAAGTCTTTTAGCTTGAGAAAAGGGGAGACGGAGCAAATTTATACTATGAAGAATGAAAAGAGGCAGAACTAGAGATGCAGCAGAGATTATAAAGATAGTGAGAGAATATGATGAATGACTTAGAGGAAATGGACAAATTCCTGAAAAAAACATTGCCAAAAACTGACTCAAGAAGAAAGAGAACCTGTAAATAGTCCTGTAGCCACTTGCCAGAATGAACAGTTTAAATCTGCCTTCGAAGAAAGCCCCAGCCCCAGATGATTTATTTTTTTCTTTTTGAGATGGAGTCTTGCTCTGTCACTCAGGCTGGAGTGCAGTGGCGCGATCTCTGCTCACTGCAGCGTCTGCTTCCTGGCTTCAAGCAATTCTCCTGCCTCAGCCTCCTGAGTAGCTGGGACTGCAGGCTTGTGCCACAATGCCCAGCTAGTTTTTTGTGTGTTTTTAGTAGAGACAGGGTTTTCACCATGCTGGCCAGGCTGGTCTTGAACTCCTGACCTTAGGTGATCCACCCGCCTCAGTCTCCCAAAGTGCTGGGATTACAGGAGTGAGTCACTGCATCCGGCCCCCAGATGATTTTGTAGGCAACCCTCCACAAAATGCTTAAGGGAAGAAATTCTGGCCTTTCATAATTCCGTTGAGACAATGGAAAAAAAAAAGACCGTTTCCAAATTATGGCCAAGGCATGTATGATCATTATGTGAAACCAGACAGAAACAGGGGAGGCAGCTGCTGGTTGGCGGCTGAAC